TTTTTTTTTTTTTTTTTTTTTTTTTTTTTTGGTATTTTAATGAATTTTTATTTCGTTATGTATTACATTTTTTTACATAATGACCTATGAACACGTAGGAAAAATGCAAAAAAAGGAAAAGAAAACTAAACATATATACATCGCAGACTTACACACAATTGGTTACTGACAAAAAAGAAACACACCCCAGTACCTTCTTGTCTATTTACATGGAAAAAATTAATAAAGATTAATAACAAATGAAGTAAGCGGCGAAAGAATCGTATACTAAACAGATTTATATTTGCTCCATTTCATATTGTGGGTGTCCAACTTATTGTTTGACTTAGATATCATTGTCTCGATTAAGAAAACAGTATTAATTTTGGAATTAAGAACTCTAATGGAGGGAGAATATTTGCTCTGTCTACAAGATTATAGATATTGTTTTGCCAGTAATAAAATATCTCGTCCTCACATCCAATAATACCAAACAGTATATCTTTGTCTGAAAGATTTTCAATAACACCAAAGAAAATTTCTTATGAGAGCACTTTGGCAATAAACCAAGGTCAGCCAGGGGTACCAGACGAATTATTCTCTGCCGAAGAGTAAAATATCTGCCTAAGGGAGTAGATATTATCTAAAAGCTCCAAAGAATGAAAAGAAAGACACAACCTTTTCTAGCGCTCCATTCACACCTAAGCTTAAACATGTTTAAAAGCTGTTTACTTGAACACGGTATAGGATTGTATCTTTCATGTTTAGTTGCTTGCTAATAAGGCATAGGTGTTTGCATGCTGCATTTCCGGGCTTTTTCGGAGCTGTAGTACACTGCACTTCCTTAAATTTTCTGAAGCAGAGATTTTCACGCTTTAATCACCAGATTTGGTTGATATCTCGAGAAAGGTCCCATAGTAGCATCTTGGAATTTTGGGAAGGATAGGGGAAGCCCTCGAAGGGGAGTACCTCTAGGAAAGTTAGAGTAGAGGTGTGCCGCCGAGGCCTTCACACACTGACCCTGTTTTTAAGGCAAAAAAAAAATGTTGTGACTTCATTTTGCTACCTTATCCTTATCCTATTACCCTGATTCGCTTCGTTTTACATACAGAATAAAGTAATTTCCAGACTTTTTTAAACTAACCTCATGGAACTGGATTTTTTGAGACAAAATTGTTGGTACCTCAGATGTAGACCACTCCTCACCAATTTCACACTCTTTTAAAGGATTCCGGTACAAGAAGACACCCTCTTCAAGACGCTAAATTGGGAAATTTTATACCCCGTTTTAAGACTCAAGACCCTAATCAAAGAAGGCTGTGCCTAATGTATAATATACCCATCACTAATTACTAATGGAATTGAATTCATGACGGTAGGAGCTGGATCCTGTATAGTAGTAAGAAACACTCACTCAGTTTATGGTTTTTTTTGGACGGCAATCATGGCCTAAGCCACCAAATCTTAACGCCCGGCTGACCGCAGTCTGTGTGCATAATATTTTACGCCTGTAAATTGCGGGCGGGACAAGCTGTTCGTGTTTCAGTTATTCGGTTTCAATTGCCTTTTATCTCGTAGATATACTCTTAAACATAGTCGGCAATATAAACGATATGATTCAGCTGTGTGCATGTGTCTTTCTTTGGTCGATTTAGAGGGGATTTGGGCGCCAGACCAGAAGCGGTCTCTCCGTTCGATTTTAAAAACTACAGTAATGTCAAGCGCGTCAAGCACGAATGAAACAGGAGTGTAGGTATCTAATTTGAAGTAATAATCATAACTGTGAGCAGACGAGAGAAGGGAGAGAGAAAGGATCCCTCTTCTTAGCAAAGGAAGTCTCCAGCTTCTTAGTATAGCGGAGTGTCTATAGCTACAATCGGCAAAAAAAACTATTTATGAGACACCTTGCATTGTACTCAACCTCATTTCTCACTATTTCCTTACAGGACTGTTTAATTTCCAAAGACCATACTCTCTTGCAATCATTAAGTAGAAATTCCACCTCGCAGTTCCCGCTCTCCCTAAAAATTAATTGGTATGCTATCCAAGCTACCCTTAGGAAAGAACAACCAAAGATTAAGGTATCATTTTGACGCTTGGACTTGCGCGTAAGCAGTTCAGTTTGGATTTTTCTACCTTAAACCTGGTCGCTTCTTTTCCAGAAAAAAAATCGAAATGCAGAAAGCATTAATAACTGCATGACCATCTGGTCACTGTAAATCAATTGCTATTGTTTACGAGCACATGCTCAGGTAAAGTAACAACATGGAGTGTGGATTTGCATTTGTCTCTGGGAGATATATTGCTAGCAGGCTAATATGGCTGTCAATCTGTCTCATCAGATTACTGGCTGTTAATATCATTATAGTAAAAAAGTTAGAGAAAGTCTATTTTTGGCTTCAATAGCTTACGTCTACAGGACTTATATATAGACTCTTCTGCGTCAACATTAGTTTGATAACGCCTAAGAAGGCGGGGTAAACAAATTTCTTTAAATCTTACTTCAACCTTTTTCTGTTCATAAGTGTGTTGGGCGAAAAGGGAGTCTTAATCCTGATTTTACGCCGTGCAGTATATCAGTTCAGACGACAACATGAATGAATCGTTGGAGAAAGCAAACAGGTGTTCCCTTCCCATGGCTCATGGTATTGCACTGATCACAATCAACGGTATCGTCTGCGTTTTGGGATCACTTGGAAACTTACTCGTTTGTTTGGCCATTGCTACAAATTCCCGCCTACGCCGAGCCTCTTACTACCTTTTATTCAGCTTGGCGATCGCTGATCTAATCGTCACTTTGATATGCGAGCCTCTCCTTTTGGGAGTCATCAGCTCGATGGCATTCTTCAACGAGTGCGCAGCTAGCCTACACGTTGCGTACTTCATTTCATTCCATCTCTCATGTACCACCTCTGTCTTGCATATGGTCGCAATCAGTCTTGATCGTTTCGTTGCCGTTGTGTTTCCACTGCAACACAGAAAATTCATCGAGGGATGTGCACTTAAAGTTATGCTCACACTATCATGGTCTATTCCGATTCTTGCTCCCGCTTTGAGGTACATCGTTCCGCGTGCTGTTTTTCCCGGCTCATTCATTAAATTTCTGAGAATGACAACTTTTGCCGTCAGCTATTTCTTTATTTTCTTTTTCTACATTCTGATCGTGGCATTTTTGCTCCACCAAAGGAAGGCAAGAAAGCAGCTAGGGACTCGAACAGTTTCTGTGAAATTTACTTCCCGAATGGAGGTGCGTGTTGCTTACACACTGGCAGTCGCAATGGGCGCGTTCACTGCTTGCTGGATTCCTCTGATCATTGCAATGGGTTTTTTCACTGGAAAACCTTTTGTAAAACAGAACATTCATCTACTCATGTGGCTCCGAACTCTGGCTCTGTCAAACTCAGCCATGAACTTTCTGATTTACTCTGCTAAAATCCGGGAATTCAAGGAGGCATTCGTTAGCATCATACGAAAGATGCTCCGCTTGTAGAGTGCTGGGCGTTTGCTAAAGTTTTAAGAACTGAAAAACTTCTCTAAAGTTGAAATCGAAATTATTCATTCTAAATCATTGTTTGGGAGAAAACGGTCGTTTTGTGCCCGTGGTATAGGTTGAAGGCATATATGCTTAAGACTTGCGTGGCGGTGGACGAAAAAATGACCGTCTTGTTATTCTTAGCATATATTCATATGGCACACCAAAGGGAAATTTTATCCCTACACGAACTATTGAACTTAAAGTCAGTTAAAATTTGCAGATTATGCATGAGGTACATAATGAACAAGTGAAGGACTTGCCTCCTACGTAACCATATGACTAAGGGTGCGTTTCTTTCCTAAAATCCAAGATGAAATAAAAATAATCCGGAACATTAGAATTTTTTATTAAGAAAAATTAAAAGAAACATCATGTATCCAAAAAGGAATTATTTTTCATTTATTTCCATACACTACCCACGATCGAAGGTATCCCCGAGAAAGAATAATACGGCTGCTAACAATGTTTCAAGTTTGCTGATCTTTCATTGTATTCCGGAAGATTAGCTATAGGATACTGCTTTAGACGGGCCAAAACGGGTCTTGCGAAAAGACTAGCTACTGGAAAAGTAAAGTCTTGCAAGACGCGCCGGCGAAGTTGCTTAGCAGTTTTGTCCTTGTAAACTAGAACAGTCAGTGCAGGTCCTGTTTGCATTGCGATTTTACCATGCCGGTAAAACGGATAAAATCGATCGTTTAATCCATGCTTCGGGTTCAAAATGTCCATAAAGATGATCAGTGTGAAACAGTTGATGTTTGTATTAAAATTGTTTCAAGTTACTGCTGGCAGTATTCAGTGTTTTGGGATCGGTAAAGAAACGCTTCGGATCATGTATCCAAAGTATCCGGTTTTGGATATAATCCAAAGAACTCACCTTCGTTGTGGATCATTTGGATCAATAATCCGTTTTTGGATTTTAGTGAAGAAACGAAATATCCGTTTTCGAATTAAAATCAGGATTTGGATTTTTGTGAAGAAACCTACTCTAACTGAAACGACTTCATGGGAGTTGGAGCTGTATCATAATTATATAGTTGAAAGCGGGAACTCTGACTGCAAAAGTTTCCGCTCAAAGCTTTTCCGAACTGACTTTACACTCTATACTATAAATCAGAAACCACCCAGCCATGTATGGTTTGAAATGACATCAAATTTCAATGATTATTGTAAACTTGTTCCTATCTGAAGAGGAAAACACAGTATCATTCGCAAGTGCAATGATGCAACTCAAGTGACTTTAGATTGAACTGAAAAGATTTTAGTTAAAACGCCATAAATAACTAAGTACGTGATCTTAGCATACGAGTTAGCCCATAGAAGATGTAGTGTATATACCAATTAGGTTCAAAACTTAAAAGAGCTGGTCAATTTATGTAGTTTGTGCAAGTTTTAGCTCTTTGCAATCTGTAACAAAGAAAACAACAGCAATTAAAAACTGCTAAATTACTGGGTGGCGAAACGTTAATGAGCTCACTCATTCTTTGTAAATTTTGGGGTTTTTCAAAGAGAATTTCTACGAAACTATTTGGTATATCGGGCTCAACTTTTCAGCGATAACTGAAATTGTTATGCTCTTTCAACATTCAAAATTTCACTTTATTAGCTTTATCAGATAATGATAAGCCTATGCTAATGAGGCAAAAATTGTAAACAAGGATTCGCCTATATCGGAAAGCTTTTGCGCTACTGGTTAACTTTTGCGCCGGCACGAAAATCATACCAAATAAGGCTTCTGTTCACACACGAGACAGGTGCCAGTTTGGTTCTGTGCCGCACTATAGTGTAGTGTGAACAGATGTTCGGACCTTAGCGAAAGTGAATAAGTTTGAAAGACAACTGGAACCCATTAAGACGAAAGTAAATATTCGGGTGTCAGGATTGCGGTTAAGGAAACCAAAGCTTCTCGGCCAACCGCCCCGGCACGACGTTCGATGTGTACTATGCGTACGAACTATTTGCTGCAGTTCTGTGCCGTTGCTGTTCATACTACAGCACCGGAAAGCTATCATACAAAGAACTTTAAAAACAGCCTAAATATGTTCTCATAATTGCAAACTTGCCGCTGTGTAAAGGTGAACATCACTTTCAGCTCAAGGTAATGATGTAACTCTTACTAGTGATTTAATTTTGACCTAAGCAGAGATATTAGCGAAAAAGTCATGCATTGATTCTATTTAGCTTTAAATTTTATAAATTACAAAAACAATACATGATCTTAATTAAAACGATGGGATGTAATCAACAACAACAAGTAAAGTAGTCATAGTGATGATGACAATGCCTCACCTAGTTAGACCAATAAAGAGCCTGTTAGTTAGTGTATTCGACGTTTAATTTGATTTGAATTTCGGATTGGCCATGGTCTGAATTAGTCAGGTATACTATATATGCTCTAAGAGCATGCACCGGAAGACGTGCATTTATCACTAACAGATATATTACCAGCAGGTTTAATATTTGTTGTTGTAGCTGTCAATCTGACTTATCTGATTGTTTTCGCAGAATACGAGTTTCAGAATATCTATATCTGGCTTCAAAGTGTATCACGTCTGTAGCCTAAATTAGGTTCTTTTACGTCACAATAAGTCTGACAACGTCTGAAATGGGCGGGCTAAACCAATATTATTTATTTCTTACTTCAAACTTCATCCATTCACATGTTCCAAAGCCTTGAAGGAAAGGGGGGACTTAATGCTGGTTTTAAGCCGTATAGTGCATCAGTCCAGACGACAGCATGAATGAATCATCGAACAACATGTTTTTTCCCATGGCTCATGGTATTGCGCTGATCACAATCAACGCTATCGTCTTCGTTTTGGGATCACTTGGAAACTTCCTCGTTTGTTTGGCCATTGCTACAAATTCTCACCTACGCCGAGCCTCCAGCTACCCTCTATTCAGCTTAGCGAGCCACTCTTTATGGAATTTATCATCCAGAGAACATTCTTGTACGGCGGATTTCAAAGCGAGCCTGTCCCTTGCGTACTTCATTTTAACGTATCTTTCCTGTGCCACCTCAGTGTTACATATGGTGGCTATCAGTCTTGATCGATTTGTTGCCGTTGTGTTCCCACTCAGACACAAAAACTTCATGGAAAAATTCGGACTTAAGGTCATGCTAATAGTATCCTGATCAATTCTGATTTTTCAGTTGATTCTTCTTTTCGTTTTGTGGTGTGTCATTCCGTCGGCTTTTTATTCAGCGGCCACGTTTCTCTTTTTGGGAACCCGTGCCTTCAGCCATTTCTTTATTTTCATTTTCTACTTTCTGATCGTGGTATTTCTGCTACGTTACAAAAGGAAAAGAAAGCAACTCAGCAGAACTCGAAACGTTTCTGTGAAACTGAATTTTCCCGCACGGAGGTTCGTGTTTATTGTACGCTGGCTATAGCAATCGGTATTTTCACCACTTGTTGGGTTCCCTCGATAACTGTAATGTTTGCCACAATGACTGGAAAACCACTTTTAGGGCAGGGCGGCCCTTTGGACATGTGGCCAGGAACCCTGGCTCTGTCAAACTCACCCATGAACTTTCTGATTTACTCTGCCAAAATCCAGGACTTCAAAGACGCATAAGTTGATATCTTTTGAAAGATGCTCCGCTTGTAGAGCTGTGGACATTTTGCTACTTTTTTGAAAAAATTAAAAACTACTGTTTGAAATTGCAGTTGATCCTAATGGTTAATTTGTAAGGCCAAACTGTCATCTATACATGTGGCAAATGTTCAGCGTGTAGTGTTGTTTTATAAATAAGGAATACTTGGAGAATTGTTAACGACTGGAAATATTCGTTGTTAGCTATTAGGAACCTTATATTAAGCATGCAACCACGGCGACAACTTAAAGGCAGGTAAAACGTTAATTATAAAATGCATTTGGTTTCCCTCAAACCTCATCGCGTTTATTTAGCTTCGTGCATTTTGTCGAATGTCGGCGAACTCTCCTTTGGTTGAATTTTTAAGGTCCGCATCGAAGGTCTATAATTGGCAAACGGTAACCGGGTTATTAACAAAAAATATCCAGTTGTGTCTTAAGTCCCTAACGAAAGATTCCTTTCCATGGATTTAGTTTACATTAAGGTGTTTACACAGCGACTCTCTTGATTATTACCAACTATCTCTTGCAAATATCCAGCTGCAATCTGTGAGACATTTTGTCCTCAACGACATCACTAACGTTTTCCCGACACTATCTGCTTCAAAAAGTAAAAACTAGCCTTATTTCCTAACCTCTTGGCCGCTGCTCACACTGGTCCCGTTGAAAACAAAAAGACAGGGCAGTTAGGATTTTGTCCACCTTAACCTGCTTGCTTTCGTTCAAGACCATGACTTTCTTTTAAGAATGCGGACGTAGTCATGAAAATTAAGTTAAATGTACAGACTGGTCAAATTTTAAGTAAAAGGCGATGAAAACCTTTCAAACTCTACAACACAACACTGCTATGCAAATTTTGAAATTAATACTAGCAACCGGGCTGCGACGACGAAATGTCACTCATCCGTTTAAAGAAAAATAATGTGTTTCGTACTATAATAGAAACCTTTGGATTCTAAGACGAGTACGAGATTTTCTCAATACTAACTGGTGCTCGCTGGTGAGCCACCGTAATTTTGGCGGGAAAACGCCGTAGCCGTCGTCATTCTACTACAGGTTTTAGTGAGAATGTTGTGGTGGCGGAAACAAGTTATTTAATGTTAGAAGTCTTGTAATTTTGCCATCGGGAGAGGGCTTCACCTCCTACAATAAAGATACGGGGTGTCTTTACGGGGTGTCTTTTTTTCTAGAATACGCGAAATGTCAAATCTCGTCCTTGTAGTCCGTCTCGTCCTCGAATCTATAGGTCTCTGTTGTTCAATGCACGTATGTCGCGTTGTAGAAAGAGTTTTTATAGAAAAAGTGAACTCCAGATGTTTTTGTTGATTTCCGGCGGTCATATTGGTGCACCAAAACGGTGCTCCAATATGGCATCTCCATACAAAGTTCTACAAAGGTGCGTGAAACGCCTTTGGCAAATAACTCATAAACTATGGGCCACAAAGATCTGAGACTTGGACAAATTGTTTATATATTAGTACAGTCTTTTACAACATTTCATTTTCTTGGCTTCTTCCACTGGACGGTTTCCAATTTAATTTTTTGTTGCGTGCCAGTGAAAACGATCTATTGTTCAGGGCACATTGCGTCGTAGAATAGCTCATTTTACAGTTACAGGTGGAAACAAGGCTGGATTTAACCTTGTTTTGATAGAACCCTTCCGGCTTTATTATGTCATGTTTTTCTTACGCCAACTTGTAGTTTTCAGGCAAAATATACATTAGAAAAGGAAGGAGGTTTGTATCAAAACAAGAGCAACCTCAGCCTCACATTAGGGACCTTACGATCCGACAACGGCGACGGCGACGTGGGACTTTTTTACTTCCGGTTACGTACTGCGCATGAGTAGATTTCTGAGACGGCGGTGTCCCTTCACGCGCGGACGTCTAGAAGCCTTGTTTGACGTTGTGCGAAAACGTGGAAATTAAAACCCAACTATGGCAAAGGAATCAAGGTAAAAACGAGACTTTGTGACTAAATTTAAAGAATACTAGTTTGTATGAAATGTCCGAAACGAAGAGAGCGTGGAGTCTTTTGTATACGACCACAAACTGAATGGAGAGAGATTTGACTTATTTTGCTTTGTATTTGTTTGTGATTGTACTTCACTCGCTATCACTGAGCTTTCTTATCACTTACTTTCCAACTTTTTTTTTCGATCAAAAAAAGAGAACAATTAAGCTTAATTTTATTTTGGGTTTACTAGGAAATAGTAGAGATTTTGTCGGCAGCGGTACTAGATTCGACCGATGCAAAGTGTATAAATACTTTCATTGAGCTAATTTTCATTTATAATCGTAGATTAACCTTATTTTACAAGGAACTCACTGGCTGGGTTGAACAGTTATATCGACGAATTCCGACTACCGCAAATATTGCTATATTTATGACTGAATCAAAAACAAATACAAAACAGAGACGTTCACATAATTTCCACTGTTTCCTAATTAAATAAGAATTATTTTACAAAATCCAAACTTTATTGATTGCCCAATATTTTGCTCCAAATGCTACACATTTTTTAGTAATTCATGACTGTTTTCATTTGAAAGCGTCCTTCCAACCTTAATTGTATGTTTCCCTCATTCGGAAGGCAAAGGATAACCATCATGTATTCTCATGATCATTTCTTTATCTGTCAACAAGTTCAGCTAATTTATTGGAGGACTAAAGAAAACAAAGATATTGTCTAATATTATGATGATCTAGTTAATACCACCCAAAGCAAGTTATGTTATTTGTTTTAAAAATTTTGATCATGATTAGGACCAAGTGCTAGTAAATCTCAGATACAATGATAATTTTATTGTTAGCAAATTTTGCTGATATACTGATAGTTCTTCCTCATGAAGTAATTTTTGTTGCACTGCACTTTCAGTCAATCAATGAAATGGACTGAAGAACACGAATTGCTTATGTTGAGGGAATTGATGCTTTTGCAGCCATGGCTGCACAAGAAAGGAACTAGTGAGAGAGGAGATGATTGGGAAAAGCTGGCAGTATCCTTAAATGCTATTCCTTATCCCCAATTCCGTGTTACTCAACGGTCTGTTCGTGACCACTATTCAACAATGGAAAAGAGAAGAAGGAAAAAAGTCAGGGAAGAAGACAGAGCCTCAGGTATTGCCCCTGAAGAGGACAAGGAACTAGATCAACTGTTAGATGAAACCATTGAACTCTTTGATGAGTCTGACAAAATCACAGATCAAACAAAACAAAAGCAGGAAGAAGAAGCAAAGAAAGCAGAGGAAATGCGGAAGAGATCATTGGAAACTTTTAAAGATAGCGCCAAAAGGAATGCCGATGAACAGCAAGGAGCAAGACCGAAAAAGGGTAGAGCTAGTGGTGCAAGCACTCTGGCTTACCTGAAGGATAGGGCAGAAGTAGAAGCTACTTTAAAACGTGATGAATTGGAGATAAAAAGGCAAGAGTTAGCACTGCAAGCAAAGGAGCAGGAAGGAAGACAACAGCAGTTTGATATGATGAACAAGCAAACTAGAGATATTCAGCAGCTTCAGCAGCAGCAAATGCAGCAGTTTATGCAAATGAATGCAAACATGATGCAACAGCACCAACAACAAACCCTTGCACTTATGGAACTAATGAAAAAGTTTGCTGGGAAGTGATGCTGGTCAATCTCTGCAAGAGGTCATTTAAATGCACAAAGAGTTCACATTTTTATTAACTTGAACATTTTCAAGGAAGTTAAAAATTAAAGATTTATAATAATAATTACTTGTTTACATATATAGTTGTAAAGGAAATGTTGCTTAATTTTGCCAACCTTTGAAAGTCGCCGAATTGATGTTATGCCAGTATCAAAACTGGGGCTGAGCCTTTATCAAGGCAATAGGGCTTATCCAACTATAGAATTGCATTACTCTCTGTAAACATGCTCACCATTATTTGTTCTCATTTAATAGTTTGTTTTGGTGGCATTTATTTCACTTTAATTCCAATATGTTAGCCTTTCTCGATTGTATAATTTTTTTTTATTAAAAAGCAGTTCAATTTTCGAAAGGAAAAGTGTTATGTAACTTTTGTAAAACCTGTTTGGCAGACTTAGTGAAAATAATCCCTAATTTCTGGGGGAGAAACATCAAAGTAGTCTGATGTGGTGGATCCGTAACAACAAACACGAGCATTGTGAAGAAGGGCACATGTCACATACATTTTGCCAACAGCACTTAAACTTATTTTCAAGTTTTTTTTGAAGTCCAGAAATTTAAAATAATTTATTATATCACCAAAAATCCATTCAACAGAAACTCTGACTTCACTCATAGATTCATTCCATGCAGACTGTATGGGAGTTAGTCCAGCTCCTCGAAAAGGTCCTTGCAGATGTAGTCGAAGAGGATATGCCGGATCTCCATAAATACATAGGGGGTTCCCATTTGTGTCCACTGAAAATCGTTGCAATTGGTTTAACACTCCAGATCTAGCTAACATCCCACTGTCATGTCTCTTTCCCTCGACAGGCCCAAACAGGTTGGCAACAAGGCCACTGGGTGCTGCGATAGATTGAAACTTTATAGC